GGGGGTCCGCATGGCCCTGCTCAAAATCCTGGCAGTGCCCCTGGGCCGGCAAATGTGGGGAATGTGAAGGCCGACGGGCACCAGTCCCAGCATCTCGGTCTCAGAGACCGGGCCCTATAGCAGGAACTGGCGGTTCATCAATGGGTGACGCAGAAGGACACCTTGCACAGTCCGCTTACTACTTATCGGATTGCGAGCGGGTCCCCTCGCAATCGGTGCGATCACTGTTTGGATTGTGAGGAGACCCTCCCGGCGCGCTCACTCACAAGCGCTCGCTCGGCTGGAGCGATTGGGAGCGCCCTCTGTGCGCATGCTAGCAATCCTTGGATCTTGGGTACGATTGTGAGCGCCGCCGCTCATAGTCCTACAAGATGTAGGATTGCGAGCGCTACTGCTCGCAATCGGAAGCATGTTGCTTAGGATTGTGAGCAGTGCTGCTCGCAATCCTAGACTTTGCTCGGATTGCGAGCGCGCTGGTAGTAGTCGTAGGCGTCACCAGTCACCTTTGGTATTGCTAAAAATCTCTCTCTCCTTGGGAGCGGAGCTGCTCTTAGTCCTAGAAGATGTAGGATTGCGAGCGCCGGCGCTCGCAATCGCACAGAGATGCTACGATTGCGAGGAGTGCTGCTCACAATCCTTCGACTTCTAGGATTGAGAGCGAGGCTGCTCTCAATCCTTCCGGTCTAGAAAAGAAGGTTCACCGAAACTGACTTCGTTCATCCTTGGCGCCTAAACCGGACTGACTATTCCTTGGCGCCTAAACCGCCGAAGCGCCCAACCATCCACTCTGCCTCGATGCTCGCCGCTACCGCCCTCGCGTCCCCAGCCGCCCTGAACACACCGCGCGGTGGCACCCGGCCCGCCATCGAGTCGCGCCGGGCCGCCATCGCCCGCGCATGGAGCACTCCTGGCCCGACCAGCTATCGCCTTCCACAGCGGCTGAGCGCTCCCTTTGCCACAGAGGTGCCCGAGACCTTCATGGGCATCAGCAGTGAAGACTGGCACGTCACGGAGGGCCCTTCTGATGACGTTTGCACGCAGTGCTTTCTGGCGCCTGAGTGGATGGGTTTGGCGCCGGACGCCTGGGTTTGTACCGACTCTGCCACCTTCAAGGCGCCGCTCACCTCAGAAGACTCGTACTGAAGCGTCAGTGCGAGCCTAAGTGCAGCAGTAATCGCACTCGACTGGGTCGCGTGCTGCGTAGGATGATGCCTCCGACCACGCACGCTCTCAAGAGAACAGGCGAGACCCACGCACCGTGAGGGGCGCCCCCGATACTTTTCCTTGCGCGAGCTACGACGTGGGGTGCATGCCAATGTCTAGAGAGTTGCATGTTTCTGTCAAATAAGAATCAGTATCTTTCACAGCGCGGACGCCGGCGGCGGCACGCGAGCAAACTTGTAGGGAGGCTCGACGGGGTCGGGAGACAGACAGCGAAACAAGTGCAAACGACGGGCAGGACAGGCCCCGGCAGACAAGCTCCGGCGGACCTGTGGAGGGTCAGTGTCGATCACTCAGCATGGTGCCCCCCATTGAGGAGTCGGCATCTCCCCGCTACGGCGGCACAAGCCCAGCCGCCCCTCTCAAGCCGGGGCCGTCGCCTCCTTTCGGCTGAAGAATCTTAGCAAGCCAGGTGGGGGCCGGGTCGGGGCTGCGGCGGCGGAGGCCGCAGGGGGCGCCTCCGGCGGCGTCGCCTCCGGCGCCGCCGCCTCTGGCGCCGCCTCCGCGTTGGCCGCGCAAGCCTCCTCTTCGCCTCGCGCCGGAGCGCCTTGGTCGGAAGCGGGCGAGCCCGCCGCCTAGGGGAAAGCTCCGAGACTGTTCCGACGACTGTTCCGACGACTGTTCCGAGACTGTTTCGAGAGAGCGCGCAGAAGCAGCGTCCCGTGCGTGAGGTGGGCAGGGGAGCTTAAGCGATGGTCTTAGGCGGTGGCGGTGGCGGGGGCTAGGGCGGAGGCGGCTTGCTCAGGCGGGTGGTGACGAACGCCTCCCAGTCTCGCGCGGGGGCGCCCGCGCCGCCGCCGACCAGCGATCCCCACCGCCGCACCGCCTCCTCGCGCCAGGCGTCGGCGGTGGCGGGGGCGGCGCCGTCGGCAGAGGTGAGGTAGCGGGACATGGCCTCGCGCGCCTCAGTGAGGAAGGCGACCGTGCTCGCGTCGATCTCCCGACGCAGCGCCGCCTCGTCCGCGTCCTCCTCCTCTGGCCGAGGCCGCTTTTTCGCCGGCGAGCGCCTCGCCGCCTGCCGGTCGAGATCGTCGCCGAACTGGTCGATGGTCTCCTTGGTGTACTCGGGCTTGAGGTCGCGCACGCGGGACGAGCGGCGCAGCGACTCGGGCGGCACCGGCGGAAGCTTGGTCCGGGGCTTCCTTGGCGCCTTCTGCTGCGGCGCGGCCGGTGTCGGGTCGACGAGGCCGAGCCGCACGAGCATCTCGTGGTTACGACGGATGTGCTCCAGTCGTTGCAGCTCATACTCTGAGAGCTCGTCCATTGCTGCGCCGCCCGCGCGATATGCGACTGTGAGCGAGCTCGATGTTGCGGCCGCCGCCCGGACGGCGCACCCACGTGAGCGCACTGGACCGCACCCTCTTCCCGCGCAAGCTCGGATCGCGCTGCAACACTGTGAACACCGTGCTGCGCTCGTTTGGTGTGTGCGCAGCCTCGTTGTCGGGGCCTACGCGGAGGCGTCGGACGACCTGCACCAGCTGTTCGACTGTGTGGTGGATTCGGCATCCAAGCAGCACTGGAGGCGGATCGGCGCGCGTAGCGCGAAGGAGGCGCGGTCCTACTTCGCTACGACGCTGCGGCGGGCGTGGGGCGTGCACTTTGCGCGCGAGTTCGCGCGGCACCGCATCCGACGCGTGGTGTTCGTGGGGGCCCCGCGGCGACAGCCGGGCGTCTTGGGTCCGGGGTTGTGTTTTTCTGTGAACACCGGCCTCCGAGTCGGTCGGCGTCGCGAGCGCGCGCGATAAGGTTACACCATCGGCCTTAAACGTCAAGTTCAAGGACTCGCTCTCCTCCAACCCGGAGGACGTCGGCCAGCGAGGCGCTTTCGTCGGCCTCGGCAACACCGAGCCCGGCACGAGCGCGGACGTCTTCGGCCTCGAGCAGCGCGGCGCTGTCGGGGACGGCGACTTCAGGCCGAGCGACGGCGGCGGCTATGTGGCGTACAAGAAGGCGGACTAGACGCGCACGCCCTCTCGCGCTCGGACACCGACGTGCAGATGTACCTGTTCGAAACCTTCGGCGGGTGGTGCAACGCGGTCAAGCGGCTGTTCTACCAGATGAAGGACAAGGTGCGCAACAAGCTCTCGAAGCGGCAGCACGAGGACGAGGCGAGCTGGTCGACGCGGTCGTGGCTCTTGCTGCAGGCCCAGCGCATGTCAGTCGCGCTGCAGCTCGCGGCGGCGGAAGAGATTGCGACCGAGCTCAGGCTCGCCGCGGCGTCGGAGGACGCCGCCGTCGCCTAGACTCCCCTGCGTCACTACGTGCCTCCCCGTCTTTGTAGCCTGGCGTTTGTGCCCCGTTTGTGCCGCGTCCCGTGCCCCCGAGTTCATTAAAAAAAAGCGTTAAGCCCCGCCGATCGCCAACAAACGCGAGGTAGCCAAGTAAGTACTCGAGTAGCGCAGTTGGGCGGCAAGAATTTTACAACAAAAGAAAGTTGCGCGGGAAGAGTCAATTCGCGCAAGTTTACGGTCAATCAAGTTGCACGCGTGCTTTCGGCGCGGTGGGGCGACCTGTGCTGCTGCTTAGCGTTCAACGATACCAGCGATTGCTATGAGCGGCGAAAAGGGGCGTGCAGACTCTTCGCAGGAGGACGTCGACCGGATCCTTGGCGCGGACGACGCGTACCGTGTGCTCGGCGTTTCTCGGACGGCTTCGGCCGAAGCTAAGTGAGGCTGCACCGTGTGGTTGCACCTGCAGAGCATGAGGTGATGATGACACTGCCTGGCATGTAGGCGGAACGCTTACCGAACCCTGGCTCGAAAGGTGCTTGCGACAAAGACTGTTGCAAACACGATAGGAAGTTCCACTCAGGGAGGGGCGAAGCACAGTGAGCACGCCCTACATCGGCACCCCGTGCTCCCCAGGTGCATCCCGACAGGAGCGTACACCCCCGCGCGACGGAGGCATTCCAGACTCTGGAGGCAGCGATGGCAAAGGTGGCCAAGGACACGGCCGAAGTGGACGCGTTTCGGGCGATGATGGCGGAGAGGTCCAAGGCGGCGACTGCAAATGCGGGCGGGACGGGAAGTTGGGTACCGCCGGCGTTTGAAAGCCATCACCGCACGGTACTCAGCTAGCCTTCTCCCCGGGGCCCTCTTCGAACTGCTGCTCACGGCATGAAACCACCCCCGTCCTTAGATGCCGTCCTGGACATCCCAAGCCCCTCCGGCAGCGTGCCGTTGGTCGGATGAGCACAGGACCTTCGTCTTTTCCGGCGCCGGGGCGGCTCCGCCGCCGACGTACGAGTTTCATATGCGCGGCAGCGCAAAGACGCCATTTCAGAAGGAGTACGAGCCAAATCTGCGCCAGACCGCGCCACCCCGCGCCTCCTATAAAGGACCGAAGGCGTGGACCCAGTGCGACGTCGAATCGGACCCTTTTGAGAGCGTGTACGGCCAGGACCCGAGGATGGCGGGCGAGGACCCCTTCGACATCGCTACTACAACAGCCAGGCGCTGCCTCCCCACTCGCCGCGGCCTCTGCGGGCTGTGCTGCGCCTAGCGCGAGCCTGCTCCGCTCGTGCTTTCTCATGTGCAACGGACTGCAATCGACGCAACGCTCGGCGGAGCCAGGCTTTGCTCGTGTCTTTTCTTCTGTCTGAAAACACAATGAGACTTGTAAAAAGCTGACACATCTTCTGCGCAAGCAGAAAAAATTCTTTTCCGAGGTCAACCCGTCATGCGGCAGGTGGCTTGCTTTGGCTCGCTGCCACCGCGGTGGGTCACCAAGAGCTTCTCCGCGTGCGGCGTCATCACCACGCGACGCGCTCGCCACGCCTCACCCGGGCAAAAGGAACGACCGCGCGCCGCCGCCGCCCGCCTCGCCGCGCCGCGCCGCGCCGCGCCTCGCCTCGCCTTGCAGCAGCGGCACGCGCACACGCACCCACGCGCCCGCGCTCGCTCCGCGAGAGCGAAGCAACCCTCCAAGCGAGTTCCGAACCGGGAGCCAAAAGGTCCCCGCTCGAACCGCGAACCGGTTCGACCACCGCCGCTGGCGGTTCATGAAAGGCTGTCAGGAGCAGTGCCTCATATAGTGTGAGATAGTGCGCGCGCTCGAGATGCTCACCCGACCCGCCGCGCCCTCGCGAAAGAGATCTCGCGCCGCGCGCGCTCGCACACGCCGCCCGAGAGCACTCCCACCCCCGCCGCCTCGCAAGCTCACAGGTTGATTTGAGGAGAAGCAGCTGGGGGAGGTCAAAGCGGGAGAAGGCGGCACGGCGGCGGCGGCGCGGCCCCCCCCCATCCCCACGCCTCCGGGTCGTGCGTACCGCCTCCGGGCGCGAGTGTCCCCCCAGCGTCTGCTCCGGCAGTCGCTCCGGTAATCAGGCCGAGAGTACCAGGGAGGAGGGGAGAAGAGCCCAGGGTGGGGAGAGGAGAAGAGCCTAGGGAGGGGGGAGGAGAAGAGCCCAAGGCGGCCTCCCTCTCCCTCCCCTCCCACCGGGCCTCCCTCTCCCTCTCCTCCCACCGGGCCTCCCTCTCCCCCTCCTCCCGCCAAGTCTCGAGGGGCCAGCCGCTGGAAGGGGCAAGCCAGCGGCACGAGGGCTTCAGCCACACAGCTACCAAGGGAACGCGACCCACACAAAGCACCAAAGTTAGGCATACCCCCCGGCGCAGTGTCCCCCGCTATGTGTCGCCGTTCGTCGGGGCACGCAATCCTGTGCAGTCAGGGCAAGTGGGGGCGGGGCGGACAGCCCAGGAGCGTGCTCCTGGGATCTCTCCGCCCAGTCCGGGGGTGCGTCGAACCTTCCATCACCCTGTCGGAAGCGGCGTGCCGGTGGGGGCACGTCCGGGTTTTGGAAGTAAAGATATATTACTCTTCTGCGCAAGCATCCCCTGGTATCGTAAACGCAGGGTGTGTGTGGGTTCCTCTCAACTGTTGGCGCAGTTCACAGCCTGCCTGCTGCTGAATGGCGTCCTGCTCGTGCAGGCGCTGGTGTGGGACTGAGGCGGCCGTGAGGCGCCACCAGTGGGCCACAGCAGCTCCTCTCCGCCGTGTCCGCACCGTCGGGCGGGGTGGCTCGAGGGCCCCGCGGTCTTTCGGCGCGGCGCAGGCGCTTTTGACAGGGCGCGAGAGTCTGTACTCTCTCGCCCGGGGCGTCCCGCGGGTGCATCGCCAATCGGCATGAATTTGACATACGTGTCTCTTTTACTCTTTTGGGTGCGCCGTCATTTATCAAAAACGTGCAGATCACATCAGGACACGGTCTCGACGCGCTCGGTACGACGCCTGCGACCCGTCTCGGGTCAGGTGGCATGACGCTCATCTCGCCCGCCAGCGCTGCCTTGCAGGTTGCCACGACGAGGTCGAGCACGCTTCTATACGCTCGCCCAGCCTTCCTTTCCATCCCATAAGGTAGCCTGGGAACGGTGGCGGTCAGAGGCAAAGCCTACGAGGGGTGGTGGAACCACATGTCACGGCTACTGCCGGCTCGACCCCACGATAGCCTCCGGAGGCTGACTTTGAGGCACAACCATCGGACGATGTCGACGTTGGGTCGCTCTCGCGGTAGCCAGATGACCTCTCATACTAGGAGCATCGGCCATGGCCGCAGGGAGCGCGGGGGAGGGCGCTGGAAGCAACACGGAGCTCCGTTGGAGGCGTTTTCAAGATTTTAGCGTGTCAGAGTGAAATGGCACTAGCCCCACACGCCACAGCGGTCAACCCCGAGAAAATCAGTAAATCAGAAAAATATATGCCGCTACCAAGTCCAAGTCCCCCGGACTCCTCACGCTCTCCCTCACTAGGTCTGAGCGGCGTGTCCGCACTCGCGCTCGCCAGCTCGCCCAGCCGCCCTCTCACGCGGCGTGCGTGGCCGTACGAGGCTCCCGGTACCCTACTAACCCAACGCCCACGCCTCGACCTTCTTGGGCAGCAGCTGGTTGGACAGGTCCTCTCCGTGGCCTAGGCAGCCGCGATCGCCCTCGCCCCAGGTAAAGACGGCGCCGTTGGCAGTGATGGCGAGATCGTCGAACGCCCCCGCCGACACAGCGACGACGCGCTGGCCAGCAAAGGCCTCGATCTTCTTGGGCAGCAGTTGGCTCTGCTCGTCGCCGTGTCCCAAGCCGCCCCCGCCTCCAAGGCCCCAGCTCCAGGCGGCGCCGTCGGCAGTGATGGCGAGGCTGTGTTCGCCTCCCGCCGACACGGCGACGACGCGCTGGCCAGTCAAGGCCTCGACTTTCTTGGGCAGCAGCTGGCGCTGCTCGTCGCCGTGGCCCAACCGGCCTTCGTTTCCCCAACCCCAGCTCCAGGCGTTGCCGTCAGCGGTGAGTGCGAAACTGTGGTACGGCCCAGCCGACACGGCGATGACGCGCTCGCCAGCCAAGGCCTCGACCTCCTTCGGCAGCAGCTGGTGCTGCTCGTCGCCGTGGCCTAGCCTGCCAAAGGTTCCACGGCCCCAGCTCCAGACAGAGCCGTCGGCGGTGAGGGCGAGGCTATGGCACTCTCCGGCCGCAACAGCGGCGACGCGCTGCCCCGCCAAGGCCTCGACCTTCTTGGGCAGCAACTGGTCCGACAGGTCCTCTCCGTGGCCTAGGCAAGCGCATGCGCCCTCGCCCCAGCTCCAGACGGCGCCATCGGCGGCGAGGGCGAGGCTATGGTCGTAGCCAGCCGAGACAGCGACGACACGCTGGCCAGTCAAGGCATCTATCTTCTTGGGCACTTGGTGCGTCTGCTCGTCGCCGTGGCCCAGCGGGCCAGCGACCCCCCGGCCCCAGCTCCAGACGTTGCCGTCGGCAGTGAGGGCGAGGCCATGGATTGCTCCAGCCGCCACGCTCACGGCGCGCTCGCCGCCCAGCGTCGACTGGAGGCGGGTCGGCGTGTTGAGCTGTGTCACGCTCTCGCCGTGCCCGAGGAGGCCTGCGACGTCTTCCGCTGAGCCGCACGACGAGAGCCGCCCCTCGCCGTCGATGAAGAGGCTGTGAGACTGGCCTGCCGCCGCCCTCGCCGGCGGGTTGGCTTCGCGCAGCAGCGCCGAATAGCACAGCCACCGCACGGCGCAGCTCTCGCCCTCTGGCAGCGCCGGCAGCTCGAAGCCGCGCTCTTGCGCCCACAAGCGGATGCCCTCCTCAGCGAGCGAGGCGTGGAAGAGCAGCGAGACGGCCGCGACGCGAGCGATGTCGATGGGGCTGTCGCAGCGAGTAACGACGCGGACGAGGAGGTCCGTGGGGAGGTCGAGAAGGCGGGCGGGCGGCGGCGTGTCTGGCGAGGGAGCGGCGGTGGCGGTGGCGGCGGTAGCGAGGCGGCG